ATTAGAGTGGGACATCTTTTTTGGGGGTGGCATTTTTCTGCCAAGAACAACAATGCATCTATACTTAAGACCTGGGAATTCCTGTGCAGATGAGCCAGCCCACTTCCTCAGAGTCATGATTTCTAGAGCAGGCTACATTATTAGTGGATTCAGCTTAGGCCAGAGGCTGGCAAAGAATCAACAGTTTGATGCGGTTCTCAACCTGTTGGTCGTGACCCCTGTGGTGGTCGAACGACCCTTTCACAGGGGTCGCCTAAGACCATCCTGCATATCAGATATTTACATTACGACTCATAACAGTAGCAACATTACAGTTATGAAGTAGCAACGAAAATAATTTTATGGTTCGGTCACAACATGAGGAACTGTATTTAAAGGGCCAGAAGGTTGAGAACCACTGGCTTAGGAGAAGGGTTTAGATACATAGGTTAATACACCCACACATTCTCACTGGAGGTTCCATATGATCTGTGCTGAAACTCAAGTTAAAGACAAGCTTGATGTAAAAACAAACTCAAAAAAAAAAAAAAACGACAAAAAAATCTGCCCTCTTCGACCCCTCCCCCTATCTTCTTTTAAGAGATATTGGGAAAATCCACTTCAACTTACCCCTGTAAATTTACCTGGCTTGGGGGACTCATTTCATTAAATTCCAGCTGAAAAACTTAGGAGCATTCTGGGAAATTTGTAGTGACTATAAACCCCTGACTCAGAAGGGTTGGAAACTTTTAAGGACATTTTGATATTCTGTCAAAATTGCAATGATTGGGATAGGAAAGAATAGGAGGATAACCACAGATGGTTAGGACCGGGTTCCACATCAGGACTGAGCAGAAGAGGTGGGAAAGTGTGAGAGGAAGAGGAGAAAAGATACAAGAGTAAATTTTGGGAAACTTAAGCTCAGAAATGCAAATAAGCAAGTTTCATCCCATTGCTATTTTATTCTGAGTAATTGTGACACCTCTACATAATAGACATGGCGAGTGGTCAGACTGCATTCTCTGCTCTGGGTGACTCACTACTGTTAAATGCAATTGGCCTACATTCCCCACCCCCACCCCTACTTCTTTTCTGTAACTCCAAGTTGACCAAAAGATGATCTAATCTAGAACCTCTTATGTATGTCTATATGAATGTGTTTAAATGAATATGTATAACTAGGTACATATATGCATACATACACACATATAATTTATGCATGCCTGTAAATATGCATGTGTATTTATTTATATGTCCTTGTCATGGGACCTGGGGCTTTGGTTTTAGTTTTGTCTTCTGTTCCCTAGAATTTAATCAGTCTACATTTTTGCTTATCTTTGAAAGAAGATTTTTAGACTAGATGATCATTTTGATTCTTTTCTATTCTAAAATCCTTAAACATTCCTCTGAGGAAAATCAGGTACATCTGCTCTCCTACCAGAAGTTCAACTTAGCTCTCATTACCAGGAATTATCCTGCATTTTATTAATAAATAAATGAAGACTCTAGCCTTTGACAGGTTATTTTCTCCCTCTACTCTGTCTACCCTCCTTCTAGATTTTAATTCTGGGCTGAATTTATCATTATTTTCTCATTTTCTTCCATCAGTATAATATAGAAATGACGGAGGTATCGAAACAGTGATATTGCATTGTAGGAAGTTTTTTGTCAAATACCTCCAGACTTTTGAGTCCACGAGTTATTAGTATCCAAGAACTACATCTTTGTTATACGATAAATAATTCGCAGCATACTGGAGTCCATGTGGGGTGCAAGGAAGATGCAGAAATTGGGGGTATGGACATGTTGGATCTAGTTATAATTTATTTTCTAAGTAGACAAATACATATAGAATATCTTCTAAATGTTAACTATACATGATATAAATGGTCTCTGCAAGAGTCTAGTGGAGGAGAGAAATATTGAACACATAATTATACCAAAAAAAAAATCAACTACAGATATATGGAGGTATTTAAAGGTAAAGTGGAAAGCGGTAAGGATGTAAAATAGGAGGTCTGGATTTTGAGGAAGGGCTGCCCTCACAAGCTAGATTTCTGGCCCAATCAGTCACTTTACACTTCAGGTCCTAAATTTGCTCATATCACAAGGTCCTTCTCATTCTAACATGTAGGAAAAGCCTGAAAGAGAGTCTGAAACCATGTTCCTTGCTTTAACCTTCACTGATTTCATGCACGTTTGTATGAAATGTTGTAAATTTTTGTAACACTTTTGTAAGCTCCCCTAAAGTTTTTTTCTCCCCTTTTTATGCTTTATTTATTCAATGAATGTTTACTAAGCCATGACTGAGATTTAGAGATAAAAGTCACAGTCCTTGCTCTCAAGCAGTCATGGTCATATTGAGGAAAAAGCAAGTAAGCAATTTCAAATCAGATAGTTGGTTATTAGTATGGTGGGAGCAGTATTCATGGGGTGCTGGAGTTGTCGAGAGTTAGGGGCATTGAAGCTGGTCTTAAGCAGATGTTTTGGAAGGTAACTCCTTGAAGAACAAGGAGTTAGCAAGTGAAAACCGTGGGGAGTGGGTATTGGTGCAGATGTTCTGGTCATGTGTATAAAAGCATGGTAGCAGCAGATACTATGCTTCTCCCTAGAAAGGGAGGTCTCAATTCAAAGTGCTGAATGGACAGTTGAGGGGGATGGTGACTTAAGCAGGGGCCAGAACTTGAAGGTTGGGACTGCAGACTGTGGGGAGCCACTGTGAACATTTTTAAAAGAGTGATGAGACATTATTATTTGTTGGAGTTTTGAGTAGCTAGGACAGAAAAGAGTGGGAAGGTAGGTTGTGAAGAATGAACCAGAGGAGGGTTCAAACTGGGGCCTAGGAATCAGAGAAAAGCCTCCTGCAGGTGTCGATGAGAGCTGCTGAGTGAACTAAGGATTATATCTGCAGAGATAAAGAGTTGAGGAGAGAAAATCAGTAGAAATGTGAACGTTGGGATCAATTGGACTCTAAAAAAAGAAGGAGTATTAATTCCCAGAATTCTAGCTCAGCAACTGGTGAGTGGGAGTTCAATACCTGAGATGCAGAATAAAGAAGAGGATCACTTTGTGGATGTGGGGAAACTACTAGTGCTGTTATGACTGAGGTTCCTATGGAATATCTATGTGGAGCCAACCAGACATAAAGCTGAAGAGATGAATCTGGGATACACGGAAAGGGTGTAAACAGGAAATGTCAATTTGGGAAAAGGCAGTAATAAACATTTTAAAAAATTCTTATATACTTTTTATATGCTTTTATTGATTTTAGAGAGAGAGGAAGGAAAAGGGAGGGAGAAATATCGATGTATTTCAAAATACACGAATCAGTTGCCTCCCATTAAACGTGCAACTTGGGCAAATGCCCTGACAGGGAATCAAACTGGTGACCTTTCGGTGTATGGGTTGACACTCAACCTACTGAGCCACACTGGCCAAGCAGTTTTCCTATACAACGTATTGATAGGAAAACTGCTCCACTACAAAGAACACATTTAAAGTCCAAACTGTTTAAGCCCTTAACAAATATATTTTTAAGATTCAATGGATGAAAGAATGGGTGAGTGAATGAGAGCTGCATAAGTAGCTAAAAGTTCCTATACAATTTTTATAGTTTGTTTAAGTGTATGAGTTTGTGTATGTGTAAATGTATATGTATGTATATGTCTGTGTGGTTATACATACACACTTATATAAAAGTAATAATGTATATTGATGCTATATATCTGCACTAGTCTGACAGGACTGCCATAACAAATACCAAGACTGGGAGGCTTAACCAACAGAAACTTACACTCAGTACACTTGACATCCAGAAGGACTTTCCCTCTGACAAAGGATAGTCTCTGTGAAAAAAAAACAACAACACACGAGGTTGCTATGTCATAACACGATACCTATGGATGAAGGGGAAAACCTATTTGTTAGAGGTCAGAGGTAGAGTTTACTCATTTATAAAATAAACATAAATCGTTTCTGCTTTACCTGATTGTATAGCAATCTCTACAACAGATTTTCTTTTTAATTTTAGGGAAGGCTACAAGTCACTTGCACATAGACACACCTTTAAAGAGTAGCTGAAAGGGTAACATGGATTGTTGCTCTGTATTGCTCTATGGAAAGCAGGCTGGCCAAGTCAGACCACCAAACTTAAAGCGGGGATTGCTTGTTGAACACTGTTTCATTCCTGGCATGCGCGCACTTGTAATAAAGTTGACTTTCACTATGGTTATAGTGAATGGAGGGGATAGCCCAGTTTACTTGGAGCCCGCTCTGCTTTTCCTCTGCGCGCTCGGCTGCCCGCAGGCCCCGGCCTCTCCCTGTGGTTCCCAGTGAAAGCTCCCTGGGGTGGGGAAGCCCTCGCCGGCAGCCAGGTGACGGAGACGGGTGGGAACCGCGGAGCTCCGAGGGCGCGGAGCTCTGCATACCATTCCCCTCCCACCACCGTCCCACGGCCGGGAGGCGGAGAGGGCTGCAAACTCCGCTCCAATCGCAGCCGGCCCTTCCCGGGGTCCCCCTGCCGGGTGACCCGCCCGCTGGACGGAGTTGGAGGAACTTTGCGGCGCTCCGCGTCCCAGCCCCGGGAGGCCGAGCGCTCCCTCCTCCCCTGCCGACCACTTCCCCCCGCCCTTGCCTCCCGGACCTGCGCCCAGGTGGGAGCCGCCGTTGAAAAGACCGGCCGGGGAAGCGCCAGATGTGTATGCAATCCCGAACCCTGCGCGACCCGGCCCAGGGCTGCGGAGGGCGCTGGCAGTGGGAAGCCGCTGCTCCTCGCCGGAACCCGGCGCTATCAGGCTCATGCAATGCAGGATGGTGGCCTGCAGTCCCCGAGCGTTTATT